GGGCAGAGAAGTCTGTGCTCTTGCTGGTGACTGGAAGATCAGCTGAGGAGGTGGGAAAAGCAAGCAAGCTCAGGTGAGTGAGTGGCCGATCGGATGCCAGAGATGGACACAAACGTTGCCAGGCCGTTTACTACACAATATTGAAAGAAGCGAATGGAAGGGGGCAAACGGTATACAGCCGAGGAGGCAGACAGGAAACAAAGGTGCCCAAGCTCTTTCCCCATCTCCCCATCCAATCCCCTTTACCTGTTCTGGCTGCACAGGCACAGCTTCCATTCCTCTGCAAAGGTGAGATGAAGGAGAGGTTCCCTGCATATTTTCAATGCCTGCAAGGAAATATCTCTTATTCTTCACATGAATTTTATCCCCAACTTACTCAAAAGGAAATCTTCCTAGTTTGATCAACCAATCTTTCATGAATTGCATGCAGGAGGCCTAAAAGGCCATTCACTGCCTTTGGAAAGATGCAAAGAAGGGAGATCGAGAAGAAATGGGCTGACTGGGTCTTACCCTGTGAGACGGCTCCTCCGATCCCCTCTAACCTGTTCCTCGGAAGCAGTGCCCTCTGCCTGAGGGACAAAGGAGAGTCCACTGCCAGAGGGGAGCCAGCGAGAGATTCTGAAGTACCCTGTTCAAAAACAATAACCACACAACAAATTCTGGATACCCAACACAAGAACGGGGGAACAAACTTAAAAACTAACAGTAGAGGAAAAAGCATAAGATTCAGGAAGAAGAGTGGAAATGTTTGGTTGGGCAACTTATTAAAAAACCCATAGACCTGAACATATCCGAAATTTGCTGAATTTGTCGATCAGCTTTCACTGCCTGGGCATTTACACTCCCACTTTCAACTGGTGCAGCTAAAGAGAATTCAACAAGGGAAATGCTATTTCCAGAGTCTGTGTCACCATCTAGCCAGCAAGGGCTGACATTTCTCTGTGAAGGGACTGCAAAAAGGAAGAGGACTCAGGATGGAGGTGGGAGGGAGGAAACTGTGCTTTGAAGAGAGGAAACCATCTCTCGAGTCTCATTGAACAGACACCACTGAATAATGCATGGCAGAAACTAGTTCACTGACTTGAACTGGGGACCTTGTGCTTCCCACATGGGTAGAAATATTTTGTACTCTTAATTGCTCCAACCCTCCATGTCATTCAGCTCCTTTCCAGCTCCAGAACTGGCTGAGACCTCCACTTTCATCTCCAATAAGAGCCAAAAGAATGGAAGGAAATGGACCGCCTTTTCCCTCTGTAGGAAAAGCAAAGACATATCAAAACTCAGGGGCAAGCTGAAGGCTTGGAAATGGCTCCTTTATTTAAGAAAGAGATTGAAGGAGGAAAAAGCAACCGACCACACTATCGCAATCTACAGACTCTGTTTTCTCTAAAGTTTGAGCTCTCCAAATTTTTTTGTAACTCAAATCCCCCCCGCCCACCCACACCCCCCAAGGATCTACCTTCGTCTCATCGTACAATTTGCATTACAAAGTGCTTTTTCACTGGTCCAAATGCAAATTGTTTTCAACAGAGAAGGCAGATCCAAGCAAATATTATCTCCAGGAGTGGGGGAAAGCAGCTGTATTCCAATATGCCCACAAGAAGGCATGGAAGAGGGAGGTGGGTGAAGAGAGAGAAAAGGGTACTGGAAAGGCTTTGCTTTTAAAATGCAGGCTTTTAACTAAGATGACGGGATACTACCTGTCCTGAATTGGCTGCTATATTTTCAGTGCATTTAGGATTATTCTAATCTTCTTTAATTAATCGAGTGTGTTTTCAAACTTCGGAGGGAGGAGCTCTCGGAGGAGGAAGAGGGGAGTTTGGGGGACGATCCCCGGAGAAGGTTCACCTGCCCTGGCCTTGGAGGGAGGAAGAGAGAGAGAGAAGGAAGGAAGGAAGGGTCTTCCAGGG